TAAATAAATAAATAAATAAATAAATAATTAATTTGAATGTTTTCCCTAGGAACAGAATATAATCACTATGCAGGAATTGTGGAAAACACGGGGGCAGGAACCAACCCACCTACCACCACCCTAGCACAACCACTGTTATGTTTAGTATACTTTTCCTAATTTTTTCATACCTGTGTTTTCTTTTCATAAAACTACAATCACAATGTATGTAACAATGAAACTGAATGGCTTCTCATTCTAAATCAGACACTTTCCCTTAGAAACTTTTTCTAAGAACAGGTGTCAAAGGATTTATACACTAACCAGATTTGAAAAGTGACTATAACATCTCTTTCAGAAAACCAAGTATTTTACAAAATATTAAATAATCAAAAGCTCAAGAAAAATACTCCATATCTTACAACAGTCCAGCATTTAAAATAATGTTAATAAGATTCCTTAAACAATATTTTTTGTTGTTTTGGTAGAAATATGATCCGCATCTATTTACCTCTATACCTAGATGTTAAAAAATAACAGAGAAAATACTTTATTTTGCCTTAAATTGCCTGAAATTGCCTTAAATGTTAAAATTTTTGCAAAGGCCCAATCCTAGTTACTACTCCTTAAATAAAAAGGGTGGGGGCAAGAAGCAGACTGTGAGGTAGAGGGACACCTGAGGCGCTTACCTCTCCTCTTCGCCCTCTAGGAGCTTCCTGTACGCACTGATTTCCATGTCCAGGGCTAACTTTACATCGAGAAGTTGTTCATAATCGTTCAGCTGTTGCTGCATCTGATCCCTTATTTCTGCCATCTCCCGCTCTTTGTCAGACAGCATGCGCCGAGAGTTGTCTCTTTCTTTTGCAAGCAAGTCCTCCAGCTCCTGAATCCTCTCCAAACATGCTCTAGACTTCAGAGTCAAGGGAACACATTTACTTTCTAGGAACATTCCAACACTAACACAAAGCAGCTATTTTTAAACCATTTCCTGGACGGGAAAACAAACAGAACCTGAAGGAATCTCTAACTTTAGAACGCAAAAGAGACTTAGATTTTAAGAAGTTAAAAACCAAAATTTCTCCAATACAAAATACAACTTCAGGAAAGTTTTGGCTTATAAAAAGACTTTAGAAAGAGATAAATTTATCAAATGCAAGTGTCATAAATGTACATATAATTTTTCTGTATTTGGCCAAATAAAACAAAATTTTAAAAGCTATAGTTTTAGTTAACAGTCAAGTCTAGCCCCCTACAAGCCATTTCACTCAAAAGTATAAATTAACTAAAAATGAAACACGCTGACTAAAGAAACCTAAGGGCAGGTGAAAGTATGTTGTGGAGAACTGCTGGGACTCTTCAGAAAGCACAGGAATGGGTTCCAGGAACTCAGGCATAGTGTCCCCTGTAGAATGCTGTGCGCTCATGCTCAGTCAGCTTGCAGAGACTATATACAACACAGTGTTCTATGTTTACAGTAAGGTATCACTGTAAATTAGAAACTTTGTATTTGGTATTTAAAAAACGAGAAATCACACAACCTGCGCCAGAAAGTTCATCTGAGAAACCTTGTGTCTCGCTAGGTAATTATTCTTCCGTGTTTCTCCCAAGACTGAATTCATCTCAGTAGCCTCAGAAAATGACAAAGGTAATCAACTCAAAAAGACTGACGGATAGCTCAGGCCCTTAGAATCACAAGTAGCAGCATCAGAGCAGGAGAGAAAGGGCATGTACAATGCAAAAATTAAACCTGGAAGACTAAATATCAAAAGGAGAATCTGCACTGTGCGGAGACACTACACTCTAGTTAGTCCACGTATTTCTCACAGGGGTATGGCTTTAAAATTTTGAAAGTGCTTTACATCTATACCGGGGATGAACAAATAAGTAAACAGGATGGTAGAAAACAGGTTTTTCACTCTCAAAGAGAAAAGTGACAGATCAGCAAGCAAGCAAGCCAAAAATGAACCCTGTGTATGGGGTGGTATGGGGTTAGTCAGAAACATCTGTATGAACATGGGTTTAGTTTAATATACTACACTTGATCTTAGCCAAAAGGCCGAGAAGCGATGGGTTTAGTTTAATATAAATACAAGTGGACAGAGATACAATTACAGAGAGTGTGTAAACACGGTTTGGCATACCCACATATATTACCTAGCTCCACCACAAGAGGGCCTAGAAGCAATGACACCCCAGCACCAGCGAGGCACTGGGTGTCCGGACCTTACATGCTACGGACCACTCTCCAGTAAAGAGAACCAGGGCTCCGTGGAGAAATGGCTGGCTCCAGGGCTGTAGCAGGGAAAACAGAGGATGAGCCTGGAGCATCTTATAGTCCTATAAATAAAGAAGTGCTCAAAAAAGGGGGGACATAATAGGCATTCTGACAGAGCCACCTAAGCCAATAAAGGAAGGCAGTATTGAATTATAACCCAAAGTATAAAATAAACATCCATGAGTCCATACTAATATAAACAAATGGATGAATAAAATATAAATAAGTAAGAAAGAAGAGACAAATCTTTCAGAGAATTCCACTTAATAAATGTAGATACTCCCTGCAGGATGTGGAGCTTACTTCCTGTCCTCAACCCTCAAGAGTGAGGTGGACACAGTGACCTGCTTTCTAAGAACAGAGTACGGAAAGAGAGAAAGGGTGATCTGACAATGGAAAAACCTGGCAAACACTACCTTCACCAGTGAGGAAGGTGAGTATCACCAGTGATGTCCTTGGGTGTCATGTGATCCCTGATACAATGTGTCAAGAAGGGCACTTAGTTAAAACCCATAACACCAGTCTCATGGGAAAAGCACCCGACAAACCCAGACGGAGGGACAATACACAGATAAGTGGCCAGTTCTCAAGGCTCCCAAGGTCATAAAAAAACAAGGAAAGCCTGAGAAACTGTCACAGACCGGGGAGACTAGAGAAGACATGTGGCACCCTGGAAAAGAAAAACAAGAGCAACTGAACATGTGGTAAAATCCCAATAGTCTAGAGTCTAGTTAGTAGTAATGTACCAAAAGTAGTGTCTTCGTGTTGACAAATACACCATGAGAACGTAAGATGGTTAAAATGGGGGAAAACCACGGGAGGGACAGAGGGGACCTGCCGTACTGTCTTTCTCATGTTTCTGTAAATCTAGAATTATGTCAAAGTAAAAAGGTTATTTAAAAATAATCACTCAGGGGCGCCTGGGTGGCTCGGTCGTTAAGCGTCTGCCTTCGGCTCAGGTCATGATCCCGGGGTCCTGGGATCGAGCCCCGC